GAATAAGCACGAAAGATATTTGTGGAAATTATTTTAAAATAAGTATACAAAGGATTGTTTGAAGCAATAGCTCTTAATGTTGTTTCTTTTACAGGTTAGTAGACAATAATGTTTATCTAATACTAATTACCTAAGTGAGTTGTGTATTTGCAAAACCATTTCATTTGTTGTGTTGTATTTATGAATAAACTTTCTTTTACAGAGCAACAACATAAGTAATTTGTTTCAATAACCAACCTATTACAAGTGTAAAAATTATATTTAATTTCATTAAAATCAGCAATTTGTACAACAATAGTCATTATTCAATCTCATTACAGAGATAAACAAACATATGAATTTGATGTCACAATATTTCAAAATTAGGTAGTTACTTATATACATACATACATACATAACATCACGCCTTTTATCCCTGAAGGGGTAGGCATAGGTGTACATTATGCTACTATACAATGTAATACCCACTTTTCACTATTTATGTTATGAGTCCTATGTAATAAGGGGTGAGCCTATTGCCATATTACTTATATGATAGTCTAAAATAAATTAATATATGAAAACTACTGTACACTATACTGTCGTGGTGTCCCTAAGGTTTTGATACGCCTTATTATTAGTTTGAAATGGCCTACCCGAATTGAGCAAGCGAGGTGATTAATGCTCAAACCTTCTCTGTGTGTGAAGAGGCTTTGCTCAGCAGAGGGCATTTATAGGCTGTTCATGTATGTACTGTACACTACACTATTGGGAAAGTGGGGCGAAACTGGAATAAACAATTTGTAGTATTTGTGTATTTCATATTTCATGTGATTAAACTGTTAAACACCGCGAGGACACCGGTGACCGCAACCTATTGTTCTATAATTGTGTCTATAATGACGGTACTCGACGAGTTAAGATTATCATTTAATTATAACTTGTCCTAACATTGAACACGAGCTACCAAATATTGTAGAACTGATATATCTTACGTCAAACTACACAATTTTATTTGTTCCTATATAGCGGCTCGAGTGAGAAGAGCGCCGCCTACATCAGAGCCGGGCGCCAGGGACATCTCCGACCAACTGCCCTTCCTAGAGTATGAACTACACAAGCTACTGCTCGCCAAACTTAGGATGCAGGTCAGTCAAGCTTTAATTCATTATTTACACATTTTATTAATTACACGTCACAGTTTAACAGTTTAAAAAAAGGAAAAGTAAGGACAAAGTTTTTTATTGTGACTCGGTACTTACAGAGATGCTTTTGATTTGTGCCCGTTCGATCTGCTCCACCAATTGGGTACTGGCCGACTAGTCAAATTCAATACTTTTTTCAAACTGTCAAAATAAAAACAATCAGCTGAACATCCTCCTCCTTTTTTTGGAGTCGGTAAAAATGGTTTTCTATGAATTTTGTACGAGATTATATTATTATTATGTATTGTGACGTCACGTTTTTTTTAGCGTCAAACGTCATTCGTATTTCGTAAACAAATGCTGGAAAAATGCTAAAATTAAGTTAGTCATAAAATCAATTAATGAGAGTGTGATTATTTTTTTATTATTTCATTGTATTGAACAGTCGAAATAATTTATTTTTGATTAAGGAAAGTATCCAATTAGGTAAACAATAATTTGAGAGTGAAGAAAATGTAGTTCATCAGTAGGTACAATATTAATGTATAAAACACTGTACAAAGCTGGACTTAATCCCGTAGATCTTATGATATATTTCTCCTTGCAGGGTGCCAACGCGATATTCTCGCTACAGACTCAGATATCTATCGGCGAGCGGTGCGTGATGGCGCTGGCCACGGGCACGGCCTGCAGGCTCGCTGCACTCCCGCCGCCCACGCCGCCCAGGATAAAGGTATACTTCAATAGAATACTAATTTGCCGGCTGGTGTGTGTGTTCAGTATCAGAAGGGTCGGCAAATAATATGCGTGTTCTTGGTTCGAGGTTTATTGAACGACTGACAATAGAGTATAGTAATATGCGACTCACTGACTCCAGTGAACTTAAACAGTAACTTAACCTAATGTGCCTAAGACTAACTAAGACTATTGTGCCTACACGCTACACTAAATTAACTTTAACTCGCGGGTTACTCACGTGAATATACTGAGAATAGCTCTACTAGTTTCGAGCTACAGAGGGGCTCTTCCTCACGAGCAGCGTGCGCTGTCGCGGGGTGGTAGGCTGCCCCTTTGTGGCTCGAGACTAGTAGTGCTTTTCTCAGTATATTCACGTGAGAAATCGCGGTTTTTGGTTAATTTAGTATGTCTCATGATATTTATTATAAAAAAAAATACTCACGAATAAGGGATATCTTTTTTCTCACCAAATGGTACTAATGTAGGGGTCTATTTATCCAAACACGGTCATTCGGTAATGTCGTAAATAACGTTCTAATGGTGTGATATAAGATAATTGTATCTATTGGACATACATAACCCTAGTAAAAAACATAAAGAAAGAAAAATAATTTATTCGCCAGCAAACATGGACCACCGAATAACACACAAAATAATAACAAAACAACATTGAAAAACAAAATAAAAAACAATAAGAGCATGAAAAAAACATAAAAAAAACAGCAGTAAAAAATAAAACAACAATGAAGGCAAAAAAATAAATAACTCTCATTGAAATCGTTTTGTGTTTGAGTTTATGCAATTTTCGAAAACTTTTTAAATTTACAATAATTTTAGTATTTGCAAATGTTAAAAGCAGCAAAAATCGTACGCATATTTTGATGTTAACAAAGTATAATAATGTTTGCAGGCGTCAGAAAACGACAAAGATGCGCTGGAAATACAGAAAGCATTATGGGACTCGTTCGCGGCTAACAGAGTGGCCAACGGTTTTGATGTCGGTGAGTATTATATTGTACGGATAAACTTATTCCTTTTAGTACCCTGGTTGAATGTAATGTGGAAAATAAATATTTGTTTTGTAAAATTGTTTTAAATTAGAAACTATATTTTTTGTTTCCTCATTGTCCGAGTGGTAGCAAGTGCGACTGCCGGGCTAGGGTTCTCGGGTTCTCAGTAGTAGCACGGAGTCTGGAATTTTACCCGGTATATGGCAATAGGCTCACCCCCTATTACATGGGACTCATAACATAAATAAGTGTGGGAGAGCCATGCTTCGGCACGAATGGGCCGGCTCGACCGTAGTGATACCACGACCTCACAGAAAACAGACGTAAAACAACGCTTGCGTTGTGTTTCGTCGTGTAAGTGAGGTTACCGGAGGCCCAATTACCCCCTTCCCCAGTCCCCCCAATCCCCGAATCCCCCACAATCCTCAAATGCCTATTCCCAAAATGCCGGTAACGCACTTGTAACGCCTCTGGTTTTTCGGGTGTCCATGGGCGGCGCCGATTGATTACCATCAGGTGATTCGTGTGCCCGTTTACCGACTTATCCCATAAAAAAAAAAATAGTGAAAAGTGGGTGTTACAGTATACAGTGGCATTAAGTGTAGTAATTTGCACCGCTATCTGCCCCTTAGGGATAAAAGGCGTGATGTTAATTATCATAAAATGGATAAGCTATTACTTTTAGTACCCTGTTATGTGGAAAAAAATTGTTTCTTTTGTGAAATTGTTTTAAATTAAGAATTAATTTAAATGGTTTGTTAACTTTTTCTATGTTAAATTGTTTTTTTTTTTCAATTTGTTGGCATTTTTTATTTCGTTTAAAACTTTCCTCAGATGTCAACTGAAGCTTTCTTTGAGCTTTTTCTTCGCAAAACATTTTTGTTTTTTTATAGGATAAGTTGATAAACGAGCAGACGGATCACCTGATGGTAAAAGCAATCGGTGTCGCCCATGGACACTTGACCACCAAAGGAGCAAGTGCGCACTGGGATTAGGAATTTGAGGATTGTTGGGGACGAAATATAATGCAACTGTTGTTTCACGTGGGTTTTCTGCAATGGTGTGTAGGTGTCACCGAACACAATACAAACGGTGCGCTGCCCGAGATGGAGGGCGAGGACGCGCCCGCACTGGACCTCTGCGCTGACAAGGACGCCTGCGTACTGGAGCTCGACGAGGCTGAGGATGTAAGTCTATATGTGCACTGTAACTGTTTTTTGGAAAATTATAACAATTTTTTCAGGGTTCAAACAACAACAAAAATAATGTTGAATTGTAGTTCAGTAATTTAGTAGTTCTACCAGAAATGTTTTCCGGGAGTTTTGAAAATCGGCAACTTTGTACGTTTTGATATGCTCTTTTTGACTTCCATTTTGCACTTTTGTACGTGCGCCGCTCGCACCACTATCTTGGAAAAATGACGGCCAAAAACAGTTTTTTACAATGTATCTTTTTATGTGCATTTTAGGAGAAAATCGTTAACAACAAAATTAAACGACTCATATTTTTTACAATTTATGTCTCAGCAGCTTTTTGGTAATAAGTAGTTTTGGCGCCAGAGCACTGGAAAGAACACTGTTATGATAATTTTGAGAAAAGAAAAATAATTTCCACACCTCGTGAAAGTAGAGCAAGAGTTTCGATTTTTTATAGTGTAGTCGTTTATAGGTGTACTGCTCATGTTATAGTGATACACGCTTTAGGAGCTTGCCATAATCTCCGGCCGTTAGCTGTTGAATATGTATCAGAGACATTGTAGACATTGTAGAACATACTTTTTAAAAAAAGAGTAACGAATGGAGTTTCTTGCTCGTTCTTCTACATTTTGGAATGAGCACCTAGCTTCACCTAGCTGCACTGACGGACTGACTGACAGACTATTATTTATTTTGTATTTGTTGACGTTTCAAAAGTACCAAATTATGGTTTAATTGAAATAAATGCTTCGACTTTGACTTTGAATCGCACATAGAAGATTTCGTCTTGGGCACCCATCGATATGTCATAATTGTTATTTTTAAACGAAAATGCCTGTAGCGACAACAATGCACCGCATAGATTTTGCAACGTTGCATTTAGGCAACGTAGGGCAGTCACGGGCTTGTCGGGTTGCGAGTGGGTCGCGTACATTGTAATTAGCCTAAGTATTTTTGAATTATTATATTGAGTGGAAGTTTGTCGTTATTTCTTATTTACAACTCGAACCGTGTCTCAACATGCCTGTAATGAATCTGCAGAAGTGCATCGTAAATAATCCGGGCGAAATTTTGATCGGTTATTTGTCGAGCGGTGCCCAAGGGTCCATTTAAATGAGAGTGATTAAAATATTTAAACATGATACTAATTTTGAGGTACGTACCTATTTATAATCCCACAACATCGTCGGCCACATCATCGCTTACCATCAGGCGAGATGGTGGTCAAACGTCGATCTATAAAGTATAAAAAAAATGACCAATTTAGAAAATAGTCCCTGTTTGTTACATTTTAATAATATAATCTATGACTTACTTGACTTAAAGTTCTATTGTTCCAAATAGGGCAGAGGGTAGGTATCCATAGAAAGCATCTGTATCCTTCTCGATCGGTTGAATATTGTCGAGACGAAATTTTCAATGCTACTGATTCAGACAAAAACATTTTGTTGCCTTTAATCGTCAGCCATTAAAAAAATTATATTTTGTATTATGCAGGTAGAAACAGCGCGTGCGCTAGCCAAGCGTCACGTGAACATGCAAGTGTACACGCACGGACTCAAACCCGTCATCGGAGCTCCACCGCAGGCGTTTGCGCAGGTTTGTATCTTCATAATTATGCTACTTTTATGTAAATCTGTCTGACTCCATGATTATTCGTTCTGAGTCTGGTGACGCTTTGACACAATTAACTGCAGATTTCATGAGCTTCTCTGGTCTAAAACAATATAACTCACAGTTCAATGTCAATAAAAGACTTCTTGACTTAATTTTTTGCAATAATGCCTGCTTTGTCGAGGCTCCCCATTGTCCATTATCCCCAGAAGACGTTCATCATAGGTCCCTCTCTATCACTGTGCATAATATGGCACCCGTATCACTTCCTCAGAAATATACCACTAGAAGGCTGTTTCACAAAGCTGATTATAACGCCATTCAGTCAGCACTTGCTTCGGTTAACTAGCAGTCGGAGCTTCAGGCTGCTGGTAGCGTTGATACTATGGTTAGGATTTTTTATAGAATTGTTAATGCAGTAATTGACCAACATGTACCAACTCGCATAGTGTCGAGCTCACACCGATATCCACCATGGTACAGCCGACCCCTTATTAAATTAACCAAAGAAAAAAGGAAGTATCACGCAAATTGGAAACGTTACGGAAGTCTCCTGGATTATCAAACGTTGTCTAGTCTTAATAAGAGGGAGCGTAAGTTGCAAATGGCTGACTATGACAGATTCATAACACTAAGTGAAGATCAAATCCATAAATCACCCAAATATTTTTGGTCCTTTGTGAAATCAAAGTCTCTAAATAGTGAAATTCCTGCAACAGTGAAATATGAACAGACGATTTCTAGCACTGGTGAAGATACTTGCAAGCTCAGTTTATATCCAATCCCCAGCCCGTGCCGTAAATTTCGATTTTGATAATCCCCCTTTGAACTCTCAAGCACAAATTAATGTATTAACCGTGACCGAGAATCGTATTTATAAAGAGCTTAAAGCCATCGATCCCAATAAAGGAGCTGGCCATGACGGTATTCATCCATTGTTTATCCGAAAATGTGCAACTCAGTTATTCCCACCGCCGCTATGATCTATACTGAATCACTATGTGATGGTATTTTCCTACAATATGGAAACAAGCTTTAGTTACTCCAATCCCGTGATAGACGAGACGATGTAACGCAATACAGACCGATAAGCAAACTTAACCTACTTGGAAAATTTTTAGAAAAAATTGTAGCGGGTGAGCTTTCACGATTGTTACAGCGTCATATATCCCCAAACCAGCACGGCTTTTGTAAAGGTCGGTCCGTGGAAACTAATCTGCTTGATTTTACCGATTACCTAGTCAATGCTATGGATAAGCGACTTTAAGTGGACGTTGTTTACACAGACTTCTCTAAAGCTTTTGACAAAATTTATCACAATATGCTTATTGAGTAGCTTTGGAGAATTGGAGTAATGGTGATCTGCTTCGTGGGATTACCTCATACATAAAAATCGCTCTCAAGCCGTATTCCTAAAGGGTTACACTTCTAGTTTCCTGGAGATCCCTTCTGGTATTCCCCAAGGATCACATCTGGGGCCATTGTTATTTATTCTTTATATTAATGACATCGGAGATATCCTTAAAAAATCTAATTATCTTTTATATGCAGATGACGCCAAATTCTTTAGGATTGTTTCCGTAGTGGACTGCTGTTTACAGTTACAGTCCGATCTCGATGGGCTCTTTAATGATTGCTCTATGAATCAACTTTACTTAAACTTAAAAAAGTGCTCCATCATCACATACACTCGAAACCGTACCCCTGTAAACTATAACTACCATGTTAACGGTAAATCCCTTAGTCGAGTTTACTCGGTTCGTGATTTGGGTGTCTTGATGGACTCACAACTCTCATTTAACCTACAAATCGATCATGTGATCAAGAAGTCGTACAGGCAGCTTGGTTTTATTACAAGAATTTCAAAGCCATTTAAACGAGCTAGTACTTTAAAGTTACTTTACTTTAGTTTTGTACGTTCTCTATTAGATTTTGCATGTATCATCTGGAACCCCTATTATGCATGTCACATAACTCGAATTGAAAATATTCAAAAGAAATTCATTAAATGTTTAGATTACTGCTGCTGTCACCCTCATATATCTTATGAGACCTCGTTAAGATACCACAATTTGTCATTGCTCTCTGACAGAAAAAAATATTTTGATCAAATGTTTTTATTTAAAATAATTAATGGTTATATTGACTCACCCCTACTATTAGAAAGAATATATCTAAGAATGCCTCGATATGGTTTCGGCTTGCGAACATTATTTTCAGTGCCCTCTTATAGAACAATATACACAAGTAACAACTTTTTCAAACGCAGTGTTAGCACTTATAACGAAGAATTGAATGACATTTAATACCAGTTTCAATGTTTATAAATCTAAAATTAAGCAGAAATATACTCAGAGCTAGGAAAGGAATTGTATCACGGTCACTTTATAAGTATGTAAATTCATTTATCATTTTAAAAACTTTATCTCTATAATTCTTTTCTTGTTTTTAATGTATACTACTGATTTTACACCTTTAAAAAGTTTTCCTTTTCGTATTGTATTGTTTTATGGAACTCTAGGTCTGTATGTATCACACTGTATTGTAATAATTTTATTTGTAAGAGACTGTTTGTTTCCTGAATAAAGACAAAAAAAAATTATAGTTTATGATCAATTTTTGCTTTTTTGTCTTTTCTTTGTGGATTTTTGGCATTTTTAGTCTTATACTAATACGATATTTTAGTCTAGATGAGAAAACATTTAAAAGTATATTACAATGATTGTTTAGAGGCAAAGCAATCGGGAAATGTTAGTGTCGCTTCATAAGGTACTTAAATTGTATTTAAAACAGTTTAAAGTTTTAATGTTTTTACTGTCTTTGAACATTATGAAATGTCGCCGCCATGCTAATGACGTCATTACAGTAGTAAACAAGTGTCAGCTGTCATTGTACTAAGTGTGTATTACTGTCAGCTGTAGGTTACTGAATGAATAATCACGTAATGACGTCATTACTACAACACAATCATGGCGTCCGCTGTTATGTTTTATTAATTCAAAATTAATAATACACAATTTGCAACTTTGAAATATTTATAGTTCATTATCGATAAAGTTAATGATGGCTCTATAACACGCCTATGTACGATACTAACATACATCTGCGCGCTACAGCTTTATGATTTTCTTACTTCAGATGACGTTAGTCAGACGTTAAATTCTCTTAATCTACTTGCTGTTTTCCTATGTGAACTTATCAGTTTTAGCACGTCAAAAGTATTCATTACATGATACCCTTCCGTAGGTATGGCGCGGGCGTCTGTCGCTGGGCGGCGGCGGCGGCAGCGCGTGCGTGGAGCGACACGTGCGGCGCGCCCTCGACGGCGTCGCGTACAAGCTGCGCCGACTGCAGCCCGCCGCCCTCACCGCGCCACGCTTCCAGCTCGAGCTGCCGGAGGTATATATACATTCTCTGCTCTCACTATATTACGTCGCATACAAGCTGCGCCGGCTGCAGCCCGCCGCCCTCACCGCGCCACGCTTCCAGCTCGAGCTGCCGGAGGTATATATACATTCTCTGCTCTCACTATATTACGTCGCATACAAGCTGCGCCGGCTGCAGCCCGCCGCCCTCACCGCGCCACGCTTCCAGCTCGAGCTGCCGGAGGTATATATACATTCTCTGCTCTCACTATATTACGTCGCATACAAGCTGCGCCGGCTGCAGCCCGCCGCCCTCACCGCGCCACGCTTCCAGCTCGAGCTGCCGGAGGTATATATACATTCTCTGCTCTCACTATATTACGTCGCATACAAGCTGCGCCGGCTGCAGCCCGCCGCCCTCACCGCGCCACGCTTCCAGCTCGAGCTGCCGGAGGTATATATACATTCTCTGCTCTCACTATATTACGTCGCATACAAGCTGCGCCGGCTGCAGCCCGCCGCCCTCACCGCGCCACGCTTCCAGCTCGAGCTGCCGGAGGTATATATACATTCTCTGCTCTCACTATATTACGTCGCATACAAGCTGCGCCGGCTGCAGCCCGCCGCCCTCACCGCGCCACGCTTCCAGCTCGAGCTGCCGGAGGTATATATACATTCTCTGCTCTCACTATATTACGTCGCGTACAAGCTGCGCCGACTGCAGCCCGCCGCCCTCACCGCGCCACGCTTCCAGCTCGAGCTGCCGGAGGTATATATACAATCTCTGCTCTTGCTATATTATGCTATAGCTCGGTAAACGAGCATACGAATTGCCTGATGGTAAGCAACCGGCGCCGATGGACCCTACACGCGATCTGGAAGACTTCACGTGCGTTATCGGCCTTTTAGGAATTGCAGATATTTAAGGATTGAGAATTTAAAGCTTGGAAAGGTTACAAATTGGGAAGTTTGTTAAATATCTCTATAAAATCCGAATTTGTGCACTTAAAATGAACACTACAGAGATTTCAACTACAAAAGCTTTGACAAAAGAAAACTCGCTCACAGTAACTTGTTACTTTAATCTGTCAATCACAATGTACGACTGATTACAAACTATAGTAGACTTTCATCACCTTCTTCTGAAGGATTGCTGTACAAAGCCCTCCTCTTTATCTTTTAATCTGGAAATTTCCATTAGGTCACCAAAAGGCGTACTCTATTGTAAACCCCATCATCGCTTAATGGTGGCTGGTGGAGGCGAGATGATGGTCAAATACTAACTGAATTTCGAATATGAAAAAATACTCTGTCATAGCATTAAGATGTACCCGAGTTAACTTTTACATTATTATTCAAGAATCTAGGATACATAATAATGAACAAAAACTAAATTATTATTATTACTTCACCCCAGGACGAAATCCAACTCATAGTATCAGGAGCAGCCATTCCTCTTAGAGACCCGAACAGTCCTGAGGGGAACACAGTGGAGAATGGTCACCCTAGTAGTCACAGTAGTCACGGCAGTCACGGTAGTCATGGCAACGGGACCGGAGACGCTGACGATGACATCTTCGAGCTGGATGAGGAACAACTTGTAAAGAGTCCGCCTGAGTTACCTGAGGAGAAGAATAGTATTAATGGACAGGTGAGGAATGATGTGTTGTTATTACAAAAAGTTACGTTATTTTAGAATTTTTCCGCGACTACAGCGAAGCCAAGAGGAGGGTTATGATTTTGACCGGTATATATCTTCATCTGTATCCTCCTAACTCCAGTGGCGTGCACACCATACATGCTAATAAGCACTGCATACCTTACAAAATCATGGTAAACCTAAATAGTCAAATTACTCATAAACACGACATGAATATTTACTGACATCATACAGAGATTTCGTAATTTTATTGATACTTAATTTGGAAAACTGGTAACTAACGCCATCTATCGAAAAAATATTGAAGTACTACAACCACTACAATCATTTTATTATTTTTTTTAATTAACTGCGATTTGCGATGATAAGTATAGTTTGTTAAGCACTGGTTGTGTACCAATTTCATCATTGTTTTTAAAATCGAGTCATCTTGATCTCGCTTTGTACGATTTCTCTATGCATTTAACGGTCAGTTTATACTGGTGTCGTATAGCTTGATGTGTAACCATTTGTACTTCGCCGCTCCAAAGTAGGTACCTAGTTAATAGATTTGTAAAATAGATACCTATAGTCAGAATTTTAATTAGATTCCAGATTTGACAATAGCTACTGTCATTTTGTGAAATAATGATACCACATATAATAGTGTAGTGATGAACATAAAAATCGATAAACAATCAGTGTGTGTGTTTCATAATAAATGTTACAGAAAGTGACAGGATAGCGATAGCGATGACGGCGACAATTTATAAAATAACTTATTACCATAATACATCTGTGTTTTATTTGTCATGTTCCTTTATGATTACATTTTTTTTATTTATTTCACACACAATTATAAAAGAAAAGTCTCAGATCGTTAATTAATCGTCAAAACTAAATTATCGGTTCAGAAATATTTAATTTCCTGATATACTTAGTTTACAAGAGTAAAATTATAAACAAGAAGAATCGATCCAGAAATATTGCATTTCCATATCGAATAATTTCGCAACGTCACTATTTAGTACTTGTCATAACGTTGCAACACTGAAATTGTCAAATCTGGAATCGAATTAAAATTCCGAGTATAGTTGTGTGTTTTGTTAGCACTGGTTGTGTACCAATTTCATTAATGTTTTTAAAATCCAGTCATCTTGATCTCGCTTTGTACGATTTTTCTATGCATTTAACGGTCAGTTTATACTGGTGTCGCATAGCTTGATGTGTAACCATTTGTACTTCGCCGCTCCAAAGTAGGTACCTAGTTAATAGATTTGTAAAATAGATACCTAGGTATCTATGTTGATCAACTTTATACACGGATAGTTTAAAAATAATTATGTACCTAATTTGTTTATACAAATTAATAAAATACTTACTAAACCTAATTACCTACTCAAAATTATGATGTTTCGGGAGTTTTATTTTCCGAGATTAATGTAGACCAAATTTTTTTTAATCATGTGCACGCCCCTGCCTAACTCCTTAAATACTGGTCACAATTTTATAAATGAGGTATCATTAGAAGCGTCTCATTAGTCCGCTGGTTAAAGGCTACATTAAATTATATGAAACAGTATATGGCGCCATCTAGAGGCCAAAAAGATCGTGAAAAAAAGTTTGTCTATATTAAAAGATCAACTATCTTTGAACAATTTAAATTGAATTCTTTAAAGTTCTATCACTTCATTGCATATGTATGAAGATGACATGCAACGTGATTTTTGTGTTTATCTCTTGGATTTCCAAGTATAAATAAATCATTTTTCTTTATTTATTTCAGTTTTCGTTAACTTTTATGACACCCATTTTTTTGCAATCACACCATACTTTAAGTTTCTTACAATATTATTCTATTTCTCTAAATTAGCAGTATAAAACCTAATATTGATCTTAACGTAGTTCAAATACATACATAACATCACACCTTTTATCCCTGAAAGGGTAGGCAGAGGTGCATATTACGGCACTTATTGCCACTGTACAATGTACCACTCACTTTTCACTATTTATGTTATGAGTCCCTATGTCTAGTATAGTCTGTCACATAATAGGGAGTGAGCCTATTGCCGTATAGTTCAAGTACTTATAATTTTATTTAATTCTTTCGTCCCGAGTGGTCGCAAGTGCGACTGCCGGGCAAGGGGTCTAGGGTTCGATTCCCAGGCCGGGCAAAGTATTCCTCGCTTTTAAAAAAAAGCACTGAGTCTGGAAATGTGCCCTGTATATGGCAATAGGCTCACTATTGCCCTATAAGCCCCCTATTACATGGGTCTCTTAACATAAATAGTGAAAAGTGGGTGTTACATTGTACAGTGGCATTAGGGGTCGTAATGTGTACCTCTGCCTCGTCCATCGGGGATAAAAGGCGTGATGTGATGTTATGAAGTAATATGTGGGGCCGCAGGTCCCGAGCACGGTGTCCCTGACGCCGCTGCCCCACGTGTGCGGCAGTCGCACGTCGCGGCGCCTGTGTGCGCTGCGGCTCCTGTTCGTGCGGGAGACCACGGCCGTGCGGGAACTGGGCGGACTCAGCGGGTTCCTGCATACGTTCACTTGTGAGGTGAGTCAATACTTCAATACTTTTCGTTTAATGTTTTTCGTCTTTTTTATAACTGGGTCACATTCGGTGATGAATTTTAGCCAGAATCAGCTTAGTGGAAGGCCCAATTACACAATCTCCCCAATCCCTGAATCCCTAACGATGCTCAAATTCCTAATCCCCAAAAGGCCGGTAACGCACTTGTAACGCCTCTAATGTTCCTAGTATCCATGGGCGACGTCGATTGCTTACCATCAGGTCATCCGTGTCCTCTCGTTTACCGGATAACCCCACAAAAACTATGTCGTTAGACTTGTGTTCTTTCATAATTTAAAAATGATTAGTTAAATAGAAAAACGTAAAGAGAAAATAAACAAACTTACTTTCGCACTTGTGCAGTGAGACCTAGTTAACTGTTAAACAATATTAAACTTCACCATTGAGTGTTTGTTAACTGAAAGTATTGGTGCAAATTGTTAAACAATGTTAAACTTCACCATTGAGTGTTTGTTAACTGAAAGTATTGGTACAAATTGTTAAACAATGTTAAACTTCACCATTGAGTGTTTGTTAACTGAAAGTATTGGTGCAAACTGTTAAAGAATGTTAAACTTCTTCATTGAGTGTTTATTAACTAAAATTATTGGTGCAATCTGTTAAATAATGTTATCTTCACTATTTAGTGTTTGTTAACTGAAAGTATTGGTGCAGGTGATGGCGATAGTCCGCGCTTACACGGCGGCGCTGGGCGGGAACGCGCTCACGTCCTTCTACATCACACAGCTCATGTTACAAGACAATGCGCATAAGAATCAGGTAAATATTATATCTTACTAATATTATAAATGTAATCGTTTCTAAAACTATAACATAACATCATGCCTTTTATCCCCAAAGGGGTAGGCAGAGGTGCACATTACGGCCCTTAATGCCACTGTACAACAGTGTTGGACACATGAAATCTATTTTAATGATTAAAACTGGTAAATAAACTACTAAAGTAAGATAATGTAAAAGAGAAAATTAGGTCAAGAGTGTTTCTTTTTTGATTTGTCAATTTTAGAGTTACTGTGGGCGTCATTTTGAAATTAACACTAAACGTTGAATATTTTAATAACCTTTCATATCCTCCTATCCCTATGTTCGACAAAAATATCGGAATTGATCTGTTCTATAACCCCATTTGAGATTGTAGTCTAATTACGAATCTAACTAAATGTATATCAAGATAAATGTTCGGCCATTTGTATGACAATATCCTTTCTCTTCCAGGGTCAATGTCTCCTGTCCGTAGGAGGCGATATAGTACATATAACATACTGAATTTAGTTAACTATGACATGACATATCTATGACATTTGTTATATATTTGTAATTAAATATATAGTAGGTACCTAGTTCATTTTTGCTGATTTTGAATTTATTGCCCTTATTTGTGTTCCGATTATGTGATTTTTATTTTTTAAGGTTTTTTTTAACTAATTTAATCTTAATCTAGGAGTTCCTCCTTAATCGCTTCTCGTAGCTTAAAGCACGTCTGTGAATTTTTTTGATGACCTTTGTTGCGTAGTAAGGTCGGTTTTACCAGAGCTGGTTGTCTTACTATTGAAAATGACAAAAATCGGTCGAATGAATTTCATTTAATATAATTTCAACCTTATCTTTTTGCAGTAAAGTTGCTGACAAAAAATATTTAAAATTATAATCTTCGACTAGCATCGGTCACCATTGATCGACACGGCGTCATAGATTCGATAGCGTTAATAGATTCTCAACCCTATTCTTTTGTAATTAAATTGAAATTATGTTTATGGTGACTGATTTCTGTCATTACCATTGCCATTTCTAATCCAGCTCAATTGACGTGTAACATACAGTGGCGTGCAAAAATACAATTGAAATTAATTATAGAGATTATTATGTTAAAAAAACGCTTGTAATAAGCTTTAATTTACTTTTGAAACGAATTATACCAATGAATAATAATAATAATGTGTTATTAATTTTGCACGCAACTGTATTTTTGTAAAATATATATTAAAATACCTAAGTATTGCATGTTTCCTAAATATATTAAATTTAGGGTTAAGTCAGACTGTTTAATATACTCAGTTATTTTCGATATATAAATGTTTTAAATTATAGGATATATATATTTGTGTGTAGTAGGAAAGTTATTATTGGGATGTATCCATATTTGAGTCGCCGGCATAATATCGCGTTATAGAACGCACAGACGCGTCAACGGCACTGAATGCGACAAAATGAAATACTTAGTTCAAAATTTAATGTCGAACTTTTCTATACTAAACATTATTTTTATAATAACTATCATGAGACATACTAAATTAACTAAAACTCGCGGGTTGACAAAAATAAAAAAAAAACAGTAGGCTGCGCAACATCGCCGCGACCGCGCACGCTGCTCATGAGGAAGAACCCCTCTGTGATTCGAAACTAGTAGAGCTTTTCTCAGTGTATTCTCGTGAGATACCCGCGCTTTTTAGTTAACTAAACATATTTTAAAATAGTCACACTTCTCAATATCTTAGAATTGTTTCCCTAGGTATTTGATTTATAAGAAACACAGAAAAGAAAACGAAAGAAATTTCTGCAATATTGAAAGTCTTTCAAAATTCTAATCGTCTTGACATTTAGTATTTTCAATTTAACTAACGGGATACATCCCTATTGACAGTTGAAAGAAAAGTTTGTACAGTACGGTTCACGAGTTATGACGGGTGTGAAGTTCGCCCAGAAAACTGCGCAATAACGTATTTTTGGGAACCAACTTAACCAATTAGGAAAGGGATATGATAGGAATTGACTTTAATTAAACACAATCGTTTTATTGTTTAATCAACTTATTTGCGAGAATACATGCGCGAAAGTGACTTGCGGCTAACTTCACACTCACACCGACATAACTCGTGAACCGTACTGTACATAAAGTTAATTTGGCCTTGTACAGACCGCAAATGAAGTACAACAAATTGAGACATTAAATTTAGAATTACTTCTTTTTCATTATACCAAAATCAATTGAAGTGTGATTTCTCCATAACCCCATGTATTTTAAAAATAAAATTTCCACATGATCTGAATATAATCATTTCGATTGGTTAATAAACGTTCAGTTTTAATGCTAAAGTGGCCACCAATGATTGAAACATTTGTATAATTCGATGTCTGTACAAATCATGAATCCCCAACAATCCTCAAATTCCTAATCCCCAAAAGGCCGGTAACGCACTTGTAACGCCCCTGGTGTTCCATGGGCGGTGCCGATTGCTTACCATCAAGTCATCTGAATGCTCGTTTACCGGCTTATTCTATATATAAAGCAAATACAAAACACTTTAAATTTGCTCTATTATAAAAAAACTTGGTTTAAAAAAACATAAATAAAATTTTTGTAAGTACATAAATATCGTCTCTTGTGTTTGTATATCGTACAAAAATATTTGTAAATGTATTTAAATTAATTGTTCACTATTAATATTATATTGTTATTTACATAAACATGTTTAAATAATTTAAAACGTGTAATTTTAAAATTGTATTATTCGTTTTCTAGGCCTCAATTTCTTGCCCAAATTATTGTAATTTTTTAAGTACAGGTGTAAATAAAATACATGTTTGGAATATTTTACTAAACTTCTACTTTATACACAAACGTTCTCCGTACTTGACCGTTGAAGTCTGGCGAAACCTTCGTGGTTTCGCTCTAGTACGGCGAACGCCTTAGTTACAGAATAGATGGCGTTGTAATCAAATTTAGTCACTGTGCAACTGTGCAGTGATCTTCAGTAGATGCACGCATGACAAATGTATGTATTATGTATTGTAGATATAATAATATGATTTCGTTAATTTATTGTAAATAACTCTACGGTTAGTGGGAATGTATGGTGCTATGTAATATTTTCTTGTCATTTTTATTATTATTATATTACATTTGGCGACAAAATAAAAATGCAATTCAATTTCTACGTTTACTTTTTTTGATATCTGTGGTACCTATTAAGTAGCAGTAAAGAGGAGTATATCATTATTATCATTATATACACTTTCACTACGTATTTGTCTTAATAGATGGCAGCAATGAGTCAGATTTTGTCTTGGATTTTGTCTCTGTAATGGCTGTTGTAAAACGTTGTTAATTGATGTCCTCTAGTATTAGCTTTTCGTAATGAAATACGTTGTGAAAAATGTTATTTAATTTGATTTGTTTTCTATTTTGCCACCAAAAGTAATTCATTCTCCCATTTGAGTACCTATATATTTAAGTTTTACATATTATGAAATTACTAAATATACGTCGTATGCTCTCATGCTATGTAAACTTTACATAAATACTTCTAGAACCTTCTAGAATAACTCAATAGGCACAAAAGTTAACCTTAATACCTTGGTCGTAAGATATTTTATTGCGTGTACTTTGTTATCATATTACTGTATTATTTTACTTAGAAATAGCTCAAGTCATTGGTCATTGTATGTAGGCTTGTGTTGGAAATGCTGAATTAATGAACTATTTTTCTAAAAAATATATGAGCCTACTATTGGTAACCTTCGTGTAAATCTTTGGTCCTCTAACGCCTGAATACTACTCAATTTGAAGTTGTACTTAAAAATCGCGCCATCTATGTCATTTTACAAACAATTTGTAGTGACATAACTATATTAACTAAAATCGCGGGTTACTCACGTGAATATACTGAGAAATTGATCTAATATAATATAATTGCTCTAATATAAAAATATAATGAAAAAAGCTCTACTACACCGCACACGCTGCTCATGAGGAATAACCCCTCTGTGGTTCAAAACTAGTAGACATATTCTCAGTATATTCACGCGATTTTAGTTAATTTAGTATGTCTCACGATAGTTATTATAAAAACAAAACTATACTTAAAATTGAGTAGAATTTTAGTGTTCTGGCTTCAACTCGACTAAAATTGACTGTGTATTGACAATGAATGTGTTTTACCTAACAAAGGCTCTAATGCAAGTTTTTTGCGTTAACGGAACGTTGTCTTATTTAGCCCTCTGATTGGCTGTTTAACTTTGAGCAGCCAATCAGAGCGCAGAACGTCATAAACGTTGGAGTATCCCAGCCTAATTAACTTAAAGGACGATGTTAAAATGTGTGTTAAATCAATTTAAATATTTTCGGTTTACTCACGGAACTGTTTGACGAAGAATTCGACTAGTTTCAAACCATGATGGAGGCTCATATTCATAAATAGCAAACTAGTCGAGTTTCTCGTCAAGCCGAAAACATAATAATTAATCAATTAAGTTTTCATGTTTTCTAATGATAACTTGCCAAAACTAATTCATCAATGAGAAGAGGGTGTACCTACCAGAATGCCAATCTTTGCCCATATACCGGTTCATGTACTTAATTTATTATCCATTTACGAAATGTTGGTTCTCTTCCTCTAATGCCGTTTTCACAAACCACTCCTAAAATACCTTTTAACTAAATGTTACTTACATCATAATACCCACCTAAACTGTCTTCTAATTGTATCGTTAGGTGTACTTTGGTTGGTGGTGGTTGGTGAACCTATGTCACCTAACTCTGTTTAGGGGTTTCTTAAAATGTAGGAGAGGTTGGTGATAACGGGCATAAGTGTGTTTCATAATACTGTTCGAATATTTCTGAATAATCGTATTAAATGTAAAATACAGTACTTACTAGCCGCTATTTTGAAGTTTTTATGTATTTTGTCTATATGTGTGTCCTAGAGCGAAATATATGACAAATATTTATTTAATGTCTTTCATTAATATTCCTGAAACTTACCTAACCAGAGCGCCCATATTTGTAAGTTAGATAGTAGCAAATTTTATAGCTAATAACTTTATGAGATCAACTTCTGAAGTAGTTAAAACTTATATGACCGTGGCGCATTAGGATCATGTTTTAATGCTCCAATTACAATGTATTAAAGTCGATTTTAATTAGCAACTCTCATAATTTCTATTGATTGGCTATAAAGCAGTAATTCGCGTGGGAAAATGGAATTTCATAAGAAAATATCAAAAGGCTGTCATAAATACGTAGTTTATTTATTTAAAACATCATAATAATTATTTAAATATTCTTACACTTATCAAATGAAATGCCACAAAAATGTTGACAACAAGATCGTTTAATTACATCTTAAACACTATTAATACTTTTAGCAATAAGTACATTTCATTATAATAAGTTCTAATTCTAGTCTATTAAATTTGGAGAGAGAGGTTTAGACGTCTGCTCTTGTTGACGTCTCGACGTTGAATGAGTTTTTTTTTAATTTTCGCAGTTCGGGATACCTAGCATTTGGATACGGACTTACATTATAAAGGAACTTTTAAATATTTTGGACGAAATAACGTAAAGAACTAAACGTATGTTATATTAGCAGAGAATCTAAGCCTGGTCGCTGCGTGTGGGTTGCGGTGGTTTGGCGTGGACGCGGCGTGGTCGCGGCGGGGGGCCGACTGGTCAGCGCCGGCGCCCGAAGCGCAGGAAGGAGTGCACGACGTCTTGCCTCTTCATGCCGGTGTCCAGGAGTTGCGGGTAGTCGCGGACCAGGGCTGAGGGAAAATAAGTCACGTTAGACATGAAGTGACTATCGGTACGGCGCATTATTGTACTTAGGTACCAACCAAATTAATTGGCGACATGTGATCGTACGTAGGTAAAGTCATCAAGTCGCATATTCATTGGGGTTCAGATTGTGATAGACTTATTAGTTTCCTAACCATAACTGACAAAAGATTGTCATCTTGTAACCGTCTATAGAAAACAAAAGGCGTATTACTGTACTGTAACTAGTATTATCCATAACTCCTTTAGCGTTGTAGTTACTCCATGGACAACGTTGTCTTAAGCGTATCTAGATATGATAATGAATACAATATCTTCGAATCTCCCCTCACCTTGGTACTCGGGCACCTGCTCGCCAGCTGCCTCGGCATAGAGCTCGAGGAAGGTGTTGAGTGCCTGACAGAAGCGCGCGGCGCGGGGGTCGTCGTCCGCGGCGCCCGCGCACAGCTGGGCCGGCGCGCACACCGCCGCGCATGCGCACCACGCCACCACCAAGCACACTACCACGCCGAAGTAACCATTACCACTGTTGGACAAAGAAAGGAGTTGTTGTTAGTAAAATGTGTTGGTAATAATTCCCTAATTATACCGGGAGAATTGAATTCAGTATAAAAGAACTGTGTGAACTGCTTGTTGTTAATTGAAACTGCTGATTTAAAACTTTTTAAATTTATACATGACCATTTCTTTTGCGTTTGACTGCAGTCGAGTTGAAATATTGGATGTAGTTTCACAGCGTCATGGTTAGGTTGCTGATATATATATGTATGGAGGTAGGTACAAAGTCCATTGAAATTATCAAAAAAGTAGGTTCCTATTTCGTATACTGTAAAACTCAAATTCAAATTCAAATTTGGATTGCATTATATCATGTGTACAATAGGTGTTAAATAATTAGGTACAGTTTCAACATGAATCCCGGTTAGGACACGGCAACGTATTTTTTTTAAGGGGGGAAAATCATCGAATGACTGCTCTCGCCTGGGTGAGGCGGGAGGGAGTGTCAGACTCTTACTGACTAAAAACCACCTCGTTCTTTCTCCTGCACATCGAGCCAACGTATAGAGACGTTAGCGCCTTCATAATCTAACCTATCGTGCGAAGTACTGAAGTCTTCATTGAACATTTCAATGCACGGATGCACTAGATTCCCACGAGAGGCAATATCTCGCTTGCTACATATTAAAACACATCACTTGGAAATAATATAAAACGTGTTACTGAGATAGGTTTTATTAAACTTCATCCCAAATTATTTACAAGATATGATTTCGGCTTTTTCACATAACTGTTTGACGAGGAACTCGACTAGTTTCAATCTATGCTAGACTAAACTGTATCTTTTTACATTACCCTGCCTTCTTTATCTAGAGGTATACTCATACCTAGGTACCTTGCCATTCTATCTTGAAAAGACTGGACGCTTGACCAATATTATTATTTAGCTTGAGACTAAAAGCGATAACATCTTATAGTGTTACAACTAAGTTAGGAACCATGTCTGAAGTCTAGCTTCTAAAAATCACTACATAGTATAAAACAAAGTCGCTATCCGCCATCTGTCTGTTCCTATGTATGCTTAGATCTTTAAAACTACGCAACGGATTTTGATGCGGATTTAATAGATAGAGTGATTCTTAAGGAAGGTTTTTATGTATAATACATGCATATTGCATGTGTGCGAAGCCGGAGCGGTTCGCTAGTATTCAATAAATATCTATTATATTATAAATAACCTGTATTTCCAGATAGACAAAGTATTATTTTATTAGTTACGTCTTAGGCACGAGTAGGTGTATTACCTATAACTTAAATTATTCTGAAAATTAACGTAATGTTATATAGACCTAAAGTTCAATCTTTTTTACATTGTTACTCATAACCAAACGATCTCATAATCTATCCAGGCCTATGATTCACAAAAACGAAAAGGCAACTCTCCATCTAAGTTCAAATCACTAAGCTAACGAAATTCGACTGCAAGGCAATTTTACACGAAGCGATTGCAATCTACGGTAACATAAACGACACAGCAATCTCACATCTAATGCAAAATCCGTTTACTAAGACTACATTATCGACTATTTCAAAAATAACTAGTTTTACGTGCGAGAGCCGTGTTCAGGTCGGCTCGACCGAAGTGATACCACGGTGTTATAGAAAACCGGCGTGAAACAACGCTTACATTGTATTACCGTTTGAGTGATATTACTGGGCCGTAAAGACAGGCTGACAACGCATTTGTTACTAGTAACTGCTGGTTTTGTGAGTATCCCTGGGCAGCGCTGATAGCTTACAATATTTTTTTGTGTTTAAGAACGTTGCTCCACACTAGGATTTTCTCCTGTGTCGTGGGTGCGTTTACAAACATACAAATTCACATACACATGACACCCAGACCCGAAACAACAATTTGTGGATCACACTTTGTGTTTTTTTCGAATCCGCAACATCTTGCGAGGTAGCCGGTTGCCCAGCCGTGCAGATTACTATATTTTATTACCTACTATCAACATAATTATTCACCTGCTATTTCCCCATAAAAATATCGAATAGGTACGTGTAGTTACTAGCTCTCAATACCCGAACAAAGTTTCGTAAACTACTTCCAAACGTGTTTCGACTAAGGTAGCTATCCTTTAGTTCACGAAAATCGAGTTAAACTGTTTGCATCGGTAAGTAGGATCGAGGTGACACAAGGTGGGGCAGAGGTCTGCAGGTGACATGTCGATTTAAGTCGCGGGCGAGTAGTTCACCGCGTATTAGTGGGACTGGAATGTCTATAAGGCATTGTAACTGTTTTAAGATGTCAATGCTAGAAATATTCAGTGCCAATTTCGGAAGCATGTCTTGTTTTGTTTGTCTTTTTCATAGTTTTTCATTTGATTGGCAACTTCTCTAGTATCTGCATTAGTGCATTTCAGACGCAACCAGGTTGAATCTGTTTATGTTTTGGTAACTATGATTTGTTTTAAACGTTGCCCCACACTAGGATTTTCTTTTGTGTCGTGGGTGCGTTTACAAATATACAATTTCACGTGCACAAGACACCCAGACCCGAAACAACAATTTGTGGATTACACGAAGAGTTATTCTGAGCAGGAATCAAACCCGCTACCCGTAGCATGGCAGCAAGTTGCCCAGCTAACGCGTCAACCGTGCAATAATTGCGAACAAAACTATAAAAGATCTGAAATCGAACTTCAACATCTATTCTGTCTTAGGAGGAAAATAATAAGAAGTAGGTACCTACTTATCCTTTCTAAATCTTTATCATCTTTATTATTCTCATGTCAAGAAGATTAATTTTATAAATGATGATAGTGAATCAAGTAGGAATTTACATGAACAGACGTCATCTAAGATGACCACCTTAAACAGTTACAGGGAAAAATAACAGTAATCCATTAATTAATAAAGAAGGTCATTATATTCACACGAAGGCATATTCACCGGCAAGTTCTTGATAGAAATTTAACTTCTATCACAAAGTGATAAGTATAAGTTTCCTTTGATTCATAAATTAGTTGGATGGACCAAGTCATCTTGAGTCATTTCGAAGCTTTTTTGTTTTATGTCATTTGGTCGGTGCTGGAGGCGTTTTTAAAACGTAAATTTTGTGTCAGACAAACGTACAATGACGTGTTATAGACTACATGTTTCATTGTGAAGAGAAACTAATAGATATATTGGTTGCAATCGCATGAAATGTCAATTTAGGTTTTAACATATTCTCAGAATTCATTCAGCTCACTCGCTCTAACACAATCAATTACCCCATAAACATATCTTACTAACTTTAGGAATGTACACGCTGAAATGAGCAAATATCTTTACTAGGGGACTGACCGATATCCTGATACTTTTAAATTTGGATTGACGCTCAAAAATGCCTTCGTAGTCTAGTTGTAATAAATTATTTTGGCATTGACATCAATTACCACAACCTATTGCATGAGACTCATAACATAAATAGTGAAAATGGGTGTTACATTGTACAGTGGCATAATGTGCACCTCTGCCTACCCCTTCGGGATAAAAGGCGTGATGTTATGTTATGTTTATATAATATACTCTTAGAGGAAATTCCTTCATAAAATACCTAATATTTAATTTTCATTACATTTTCTGTCAAGTAGTAAACACATCGTACAAACAAAACAAAAACTTCTAATACTTAAACAAAACCACAAATATTTCACAACAAGGAAGAGGAAATCCTAACCCTCTTCGAGCGAGTGAAATAACGCGACATTTATAAGAGTATACAGTTACAAATAATATCTAACTGCAAAGGAAATCTTGAACCAAACGGTAACGAGGACTGCAATATCTTTTGTGCTCAAAAGGCGTGGTGTTAGTTGACCGAAGTTAGGTAATAGGAGCAAAGAGGGTTGAAAATAGTGGGGAATTTGATTAGGACGCCTTTATTCTTACGTTTTTTTGTTAAGAACGTGGGTTTTCTTTGATGTTTCGTTGGAAGTTTTTGGGGACAACGTTGTGAAGGTTATCGTGAATGAATGTTTGAGAGATATGTTGTAACTGTTATGTTATAATAAAATATATTTATGCTATTTACTTATAGTTTTTTAAGTACAATAGTAGGTAGATCAACACTAGTTTACTAAGCTCATATAGTAATGAAATGTGCATTTAACTAATGTAATAACCAGTTGGATTTTTACATCAGTCAGACCAGTGCCTTTAGCCAAACGCCACTCTAGCGCTTGTCTACAGCGAGAGTAGAAAACTAAATGTATGGGGATGACACTGTTTTTCTATTCACAAGCGCTAAATGGCATTTGGCTACAGCTGTAGGGCGGTAGTGATTAGCGTTAGATACTAAGCCTACCTAAATCCTCTTATCACATGGTCTTGCACTAAATTAAATTTTCTGGGCAATTTGCTTTTCGCTTCAATAATGAAACATTTTGGTGTGTTGCCAAATTTGACTAGTGCATCTCACCGTTTGTCATAATGTCTACGCTTGCTAGGCGACTTGGAGGTCGTAGTTAAATGGGTTCAGGTTCGCTTTAGTGCGCTTCAGACCAATATCTGTATGTATTATGTAGGTATAGTCCCTATCTCTGAAAGAGCAGGTGTGAATTTTTTGTCCTCGGTCATCACCGCACTGCAATATATCTACTAATAGTCACAGACTCGGTACCTACGTATAAAACACAAACAAATATAAAAACAAAAACTTTGTTTGTCATCGCATATTTCCCGGTTCACCATATTCAGGTACAGGTTCACCTGCTATATCGAATGTCAAAGCAAACTATCACATAACAGTTTGCAAAGCGAAAAACTCGACAATATACGAAATAAAACTAATAAAATGTTTTATTATCTGTTTCAAGAGGACCACATTCCTCCCGGAGGTCATGGGGTGCGACCTCTAACACATACCAACTATTTATACGATTCAACGAAAAATATTTAACTTAAATAGAATTCAAAAAAGACATTTTATATTCGAGTTTTTTGTTCTAGGACTGTTTTATTAAATATTTTTGTGGCTTT